GATTTCCTCACTCCCACTCCCCACGATAGAGAGAGGAGAGAGCTTTTTTTTTCTTCCCTAGTTACTTCTTCCCTGGGTCGTGTGTTGGAGTAGTTGAGAGTTTTTAGCTCAAGTTTAGAGTCATGTTAGCCTGTTAGCCAGTTAGTTGGGAGTGGCTGCAAAGAAGGGATTTGGGGTTAGAGGAGGTTAGTAGTGGCCGAGTTTGATGGCTAAGGTTTTGTATTTATACTGTCTTTCAACTTTCAATAAAATTTGGTCAGTTTGCATTCATTTGAGTTTACAAATTTCCCACAAAAAGCAGGGAAGATTTTGGGCGAATTTCTTCGTTTACCAGGAGGATAATCTAGATCAGTGACTGCCTACAAGTTCCAGCCATTGCCATAGTCCACGAGAGGGACATCTGGGCCGAAGCTGACGGGTTCCTCGCCATCTTTAACGGCTTCGATCGCAAATGCCAGAGGTTTCCCATTATTCAACTTCCTGTTTAATAGCGACACTGCGAATCCATTGGCGGATCCAGGGGGTGGCCACCCCAGGCCCCGGCCCAGCCCTCCTCTGGATTCGTAGTTACTATAGTCCTTATGAAATTTTTGATTTTAGACATTCAATCCAGTGTTATTCTATGATGAGATTGGGTTTAACTAGAAAAATTATCAAGTTGAACATATTCAAATCACTATTCTAAATTTAGCCTAGAAATTTTAGCCCCAAATATTATGCGTCTTAAAAAAACAATGAAACCTAAAATTCTAAAAAGTTAAAAACGTAAAAGACTAAAAGAAATATGAGGTTTGTTCCCTTACAAATTTACTAAAGCAGCTGGTGTGCAGAGATGGACACACAATGTAAATTGATTAGTCGATTGATTTATCTAGTGTTGATGCTGCTCGTTTCAACAGCTACTACGAAGAGAACCTTTTTAACAATGAAACATGTGAGAACTGATTTGCTCAACAAAATGAGCAATGAATTTCTCGCCGATTGCTCAAGTATTTTATTTGAAACAGTGTATACTATTGGTATGGATGTAGACTTCATTATTGATGCATTCCCTAAATTAAAATACAGTTGTGTACAATTTACATTGCAAAAAACTATAATCATTATATCTTTTTACGGTTCTAATTTTCTAATGAAATGCGGCCCAGTGCACTTCTGTGTTCTGGATCCGCCGCTGTGCGAATCCCGCCTTCGTACCGGCTGCAAAGCGCCTCTTTTTCTTTGAAGGTTTGCATTCTACTTCAAGAAACTGTGGCAACAAAATGTTCAAATTGGGAGCAGAATTGTCATTCGGATTAGATCGCACATATTTCGAGAAGTGGAAGGAGAGAGTAAGAGACAGATACAAATAGAGATAGAGAGGCATATACTGGAGAAGAAAGCGCAGGAGAAGGTTCGGGTTCTGAAGCTTCTGCCGCCATTGAAATTTGCTATCGAACCAAGAAAGAAATCTCAGTTTTCCAGTTTCCCGCCATTTCATACTTCCTTGTACATGTATAAGGCCAAGAAGTGTTCGAGAGAATGTGGGCCTGGAAGAAGCCTGATGTCACGATGTGCCTGTATTACCAGCGCAATTCTGGTGACGAGTGTTGGCGCTTTGACCCCGTTGCAGTTTGACTTATCAAAACGAGTTCTGTACTTCTGTAGTGTGAAGTAAACTTATGGTTGTTTATCTGTCCGTAATCCTAAGATGTGACCTATAAAGTAGGTTAATATCACTAATAAATCTGAATTATTAGAAAATATCACTTGTGTTACAGCCTATTCAATTTTCCAAAAATATCTCAATCTATGACAATTGTGCACTTATGTCCTAACAATTTTATTAATCATTAACAATGTAGTTAAACTATAGTTTTTATGTATAAGCGAAATGATGGGTACAAACTTAAGCGTAAAAGCGGAGCGTAAGAACGTAAGTTTATATGAACCATTGAAATTGTAAAAAAGCAACTTAAAAGACTAATAGGATCCACACACAGAAAATTGGAAAAGATTTTGAACTAGAGTACATTCTAACTCAGAACAAGTTCATAAACATAGAAAAAGAGTTGAATCGTACGCTAATATGAATCATAACTCTGAAATATTCATATTATGGACATCACAAGCCCCCCAAAAAAATTGATCATGATTTATGCTACATTTGGGCAGCAACATCCACATTTCCATCCAAATCATATCATCTTAATTACCGCCATCATCATAGTTGTTATTGTCACTAACATCATGCTCCTCATAAATACATCAATCATCATTCATGTTAAAAGAATCATTTTGAAGCCAGCCGATCACTTTAGTTTTTTCATCCACAAAAAACCATTTGACCATCGCACGACGTGCCAAATCGCTCCATAAACATTATCATTAAAAGCTCTTATAAGCGTCCTAAAAGCTAGCTTTTAAGTATTTTTTATGCACATATTGTGGTTTTAAAGAGTTTATATTAAGCTTATGGTGTCAAAAGGTTTTTCAAAGAAAATTACTATATTGGAGGAGATAAGAACTTAAAAGCGTAAGCTTTTAGGCTTAAACTCTAGCTTTTAACTACATTATTCATTAATTTGTTATAGATATAAGTCCGTGGTTAACTTAATGTTGACGTGGCATCAACAAATATTCACAGTAACAAAATTAACATGAATTGGGGAGCGAATGCACATAGGGATGGCAACGGGGCATGTTCAGAGCGGATATTGCTAAATCCGCGCCCTGCTCTGCCCTCCAATTGCTAATCCGATCTGCCCCGCGCTCCGTGATGGGTCGACGATTTTCACCCCAAACATTGCTTCGCGCGGGGTAGATAAAATTCGATCTGCCCCAAACAATTTCAGGTTGTCTCTTCTTTTCAAGCCTCGTCAGGGCTTCAGTCTCCCCCTTCTTTGTTACTGATGTTCCATCGTCGATGGTTGTTCACTTTTTTTGTAGAACATTGACTGCGACTGAAACAACTGAGATTGTTGTTGTCGCCGGAAGAGGCCATTGTTGATGGGGAATCAAGACGATCTAAAAGAGTGTCCTCTCGTTCTCTTCTGTCTTTCTAAAACGATCAATGATGAGCGAGATCAGAGATTGGGTCGCCGGAGTTTGAAAGATGGGTTTCAAGCTCTTTAGCTTGGTGCTCTAGTCAGAGTCTGGGTTTCTAGATACGGGAATCTAGATCTTCAATGTCGTCGGAGTTTACTGGAGCAGCGCCTTTGTCTCCACTCTCCAACTACTTTGTTGCCTTTTTCTTCATAAGTCGATGCTGAATACGACAACATGCTCCGAAGTAGTGGTGGGGGATGACAGACTATAATGGCGCCGTGACATTCGCTTCAACTTATCTTTTGCTAAGATCGACGAGTTGGGGAGATTCGGAATTGGGGGAGGAATTGGACGGTGGGAGACTGGGAATGGGGATAAAAGCTGGGATGATTGGTGGATTTGGGAAATTGGGGGATGTTTGGGAATTGGAAAATTGGGATAGGAAAAAGAATCGACAAAGGTATAAAAGCTGAGATGATTTGATTGGGTTTTGTGGATAGAAAATTCTAGAGTGCAAGGTTTAATAATGGAAAATTGGGATCGATGGTACGCGGGGTCGCTAGGCGGAAGGTGAGAAGATTAATAGACGGGGCGGAGCAAGTTAGGAGTCGTGATCCATATCCGCTCTGTTTTAATAGCGGAGCGGGTCGAGATCCGCCCTGTTCAAATACGGGTCAGATTTTATCCGCCCCATAGCAGGTCAGATATGGTAAAATCCACCGGAGCGGATCTGGTTTGCCATCCCTATATACACATCACGTGTTCCAGACTTCTAGTTAGGAAGGGAGTCATACGTTAGGTCTGACCGACCTTGGGCAGCTACGGACCACATCAAGCTCACATAAATAGTTATTAGTGTATATTGAGGATACTAGAGTAGAGAGTTTCAAAATAAAGCACATTAAGCATGATATTCCCACATAAATAACATTTCTCCAGAAACCAAAAGTGTATTATTACGCTAATGGGACAAACACAGGAGATGGGGGATGAGAGGCAGATATTCCGTATTGCATCTCTTCAGGTACTCTCTCTCTCTTTCCTTATTTCCTCGTCGGAGGACAAATCTGGACTCCAGCGCCTGGAAATGAGTGCTTTGCTTACAACATCGGAGCGTCAGTTCGGAGGACGTCAGGGATGCAAGCCACCCCCAAGATATTAAAATTAGTCATATTAAGCATGCTCACCATTACTACCGTAATTTCCTGCCACAGTTGGAGGTGAACAACATGGTTTCTGACAAATCAGGGGGAGGGACAAAAACTACAACACAGATAAGATTCCTCCGGATAATGGAGCTTGAAGACTCGTATCAGTTTTCCATACTAGTGACCGAGCCGATGCAGCATCAAAGAGCCAACATGATCCTCTACATCAACAGGCAGCCAAGAATCAGCAGCCACACAGACGTGCAACCAAACTGATCTGGTATGTACAATGGTAAAGCAACACCAGCTTTAGTGAAATATAGTCTTTATCCCAAACAGTAGTATCCTCATTAACAAGATGAGTTCACTTTGTCCTTCCACTGCGACCAAAATGCTTCACCTGCATAACTTTAGGCAATATAGTCTTATCCATCCTATCTTCACCAGTTGGTGCAGAGAAATCCCGACTAAAGATATTCTTATTCGACCCAGCACTCGCATCAGATTCATCTTCAAAGAAGGCACCTTTGTGATAATATTCTGCATAAACGTCCATTTCTGCTTAGGTGGTGGAGCAGGTTTAGGGTTCTTCCTCTCCCATTCCCTTATTTCCTCCTCAGTCATATTCCACACTCTCTCAAACTCTTCCTTCTCCTCTCTATCTTCCCTATCCCTCTTGATCCTCCCGATTTCCCTCACTTTCCATGTTTCATACTCTTCTTCTTCATTCATCTCATCATCGGTATCCACATCAACAATCTCCGCCTCCATCTCCAAATTATTCTAGATTTGATTTTCCTTCTTGATCTCTTCAACCAACATATGCTAAGTCTCCACCTTCCTCTCTTCAATTTTCCTCTTCACCTTCTCCTCAAAAGCCCTTTCTTCCTCCGCAAGCAGCTCTCTTTCAGCTATGATATATCTCTCTGATTTAGGCACAAACACTGGTTTCACCATTGTCATACATGTTGTTTCTTCTTCAGAGTCCGTCTCGTCCTCTGACGACTCTTCTTGTTCTGCCTCTTCGTCATCTTCTTCCTCTTCTACAGGAAGCAGTACGACTTCCTCTCGCTCCCGCATTCGAGCCTTCTCCCTGATTCTTCTCCTTCTCTCTTCTAATGCCTCCTCATCTTCTTCCTCAACGGCTAATCCTTCTAGCCTTTCCTCCTCTTCTGTGGATATAATCTCTGTAAAACACTTATGGATGCAATCTGACGAGTCTTATTGATTTGAGAAGTAAAGTATATATAGGAATTTGAGATTGACTCTACTAACTACTGCTCTAACGTTCCACTAACCAGGAAACTCGCTGCCACTACTAACTACTCAAACTAATTGAGCTGGAAAAGCTCAACAGCTTTGACTCACTGATCAAGGACCAAAATGCAACAAAACAAAAACAAAGACTGACCCTGCAATAATGCACAACGCAATACTGCTTATTTAATCTTAGACCAAACGATGTCGTATCCTCCAGCAGTGAACAACTTTCAAATTTTGGCGCCTGACTCCTTTGAATCCGAGAGCTGAGCGGAATCCTTGTCCAACCAGGACTTCTTCCAACATTATCCTCCCCTGAATTGAAGCACCTCAGCAGCAAGCTTCAGTTCATCATTCAAGCCCTCTTCACTTGTCTTTTGCTCCAGAAACATCACAAACACCAAGTTCCTCCCTCAGCCTGTAGAATGCCTTAGGGATGGCAATGGGTCGGGTCGGGGACGGATAGTGCATATCCGTTACCCTACCCAAAGTAGTTCGGGTTTTACCCATACCCATACCCACATATGAAACGGGTAGAAAATTTAAACCATGCCCATACCCGTTCGGGTTTCGGGTATCCACGGTTATCCTTCGGTAATGATTTCTCTTCATAACTCCAACTAATATATTAACATTCACACGTATTCTCACATTACGCAAGAGGAAAAGTATGACAATAATTCACTAGAATGAAGAAAATTAATTAAAACAACACAATTTCATGAAAATATTATATTTATATGCTAAATATAAAATATGTTAGAGAAAAATAATGACTATTTCTAGACAAAATACATATGTATGTGTATAATCGGGTGGGTTCGGGTTGGATACTGAGAAACCCATGCCCACCCATTACCCGCAATATTCGGGTTCGGGTTTTACCCATACCCACTAAATGTCCTTCGGGTTCGGGTTTTACCCTACCTGATTAGGTCGGATTCGGGCGAATATCCACGGTTACGGATATTTTTGCCATCCCTAGACTGCCTCCAAAGACAGACCCTTTGTCATTATATCAGCCACTTGCTCCTTAGTGCCACAATACCTGAGCTCCACAATTTCATCTCTGACCAGTTCCCTTAAGAAATGAAATCTGACATCGATGTGTTTGCTTCTTCCATGGAGAACAAGGTTCTTAGACAGCTTGATAGTAGAGCTGTTATCACACATGATGACAGTCCCTTTCTCCACACTCGTCTTCCACCCAATGTCAGCAAGAATTCGCCTTAGCCAGACCCCTTGAGCAGCACAGTATGCAGCTGCCACAAATTCTGCTTCTGTGGTAGACAAGGTGACTACAGGCTGCTTTTTGGAAGCCCAGGATACTGCTCCTCCTGCAAGAAAGTAAATGTACCCACTGGTTCTCTTTCTATCATCAGAATCTCCTGCATAATCACTATCTGTGAAGCCCATCAGACAGTCTTCTCCACTTCCTTGTTTGTACCAGATGCCATAGCCCTGAGTTCCTTTCAGGTATCTTAGGACCCTTTTGGCTGCCAGTAAATGTTGCCTCGTGGGAGCCTCCATGTACCTGCTCAAAGAACACACAGCAAACATCAAATCTGGTCTTGTGGCTGTGATGTACAGCAGGCTGCCAATAAGTTGCTTGTACTCAGTAGCATTTACCAAACAGCCATATCCAGCTTTAGTTAGCTTAGTTCCAGGAGCAATAGGATTGTGTACAAAGTTACACTCAGCCAAGTTGAACCTCTTCAGAACCTCTTTTGCATACTTCTGTTGTGAAATGAAGATGCCAGCTTCTCTCTGCATTACTTCTACTCCCAAAAAATACTTCATCTTCCCCAGATCAGTCATTTCAAACTCAGCCTCCATTGATCTTCTGAACTCTTCTACCATTTCAGTGCTTGTACCAGTGTACAATACATCATCTACATAGACGCAAACAAGCAGTGATCCTTTTGTAGTTGTCTTGATGAACAATGTGGCTTCATGCTAACTTTTCTCGAAACCAGATGCTAAAAAGTAGGCTTCAATTCGACTATACCAGGCCATGGGGCTTGTTTTAAGCCATAAAGTGCCTTCTTGAGCTTGTAGACTTTAGATTCCTCCCCAGCAAACCCTTGTGGTTGCTCAACATACACATCCTCAGTGAGCTCCCCATTTAGAAATGCACTCTTGACATCTAACTGCAGACTGTAAGTCCATGGTGTGCAGCAAATGCTAAGAGACATCTAATGGTATCCCACCTAGCCACAGGTGCAAATACCTCATTGTAATCCACTCCAAACCTATGAGCATACCCTTTGACCACCAACCTTGCCTTGTGTTTATCCAAAGAGCCTGTTTCGGTACACTTGGTCTTGTATATCCATTTCAAACCGATGGGAATAATGCATTCTGGGAGTTTTGTCAGTTCCCAGGTCTGGTTTCTCTCAATGCTGTGCATTTCCAGCTTCATTGCTTCATTCCAGATGTCATCCTTGGCTGCATCCTCAAAGGTTTGAGGATCTTCTGCTGTAGCAGCCATTGCTAACCATTCTGATTGTACTTCTTCCACACTGTTGCAGTCATAAATGGCCAAATGACTTGGAGGTTTTCTGGATCTGGGACCTAGATCAGTGCTTCTAGGTAGTCCTAGCACATCAGTTGAAGCATTATCATCAACTTCATCATTTGCATTTGTCCCAGCTGGTGTGACAGGACTTCCAGGACTTGGTGGTTCTTCTGTTGTTTCTTCAGTAGGAACTGGGGTGTCCAAAAGCTGAGGACCTTCTTCCCCATCTGAATCAACAAATGGATCTTCACTTCCTTCCCATACCAGACTTGTCAGAGCTGGTGGATTGGCAGATTTCCACTTCCAACCTTTACTTTCATCAAATACCACATCCCTGCTTATCACAATCTTTCTGGTTTCTGGATCATAGAGCCTGTAAGCCTTGGATTCTTTGGAGATTCCCAGGAACTGGCATTGAGTACTCTTGTCATCCAGCTTCTTCCTTAGCTTGTCAGGCACATGTGCATATGCTACACAGCCAAAAACTCTGAAGTAGGACACTGAAGGAGCTGCACTAGACCATAGTTCATGTGGGGTCTTTTCCTGGTTTGCCACTGTAGGCCTTCTATTTAGGACATGAGTTGTCCAATTTACTGCTTCTGGCCAGAAGCCTGCAGGCACTTGTGTGTCTTTTAACATGCATCTCACCATGTTCATGACTGTTCTATTCTTTCTTTCAGCCACCCCATTCTGCTGAGGTGTGAGTACAGCAGTGAGCTGCCTTTTGATTCCAGTTTCAATACATAATGACTGAAACTCACTTAGCAGAAACTCTCCACCCCTGTCTGTCCTAAGACACTTAATAGAAAGACCAGTTTCCTTTTCTACATTTACTTTGAACATTTTAAACCATTCAAGAGCTTCAGACTTGGTGGCCAGATGAAAAACCCACAACTTCCTACTGTAATCATCAATGAGAGTGAATATATACCTTTTACCACCATTTGAGGTTGGGGTGATAGGACCACACAAGTCTGCATGAACTAGTTCCAATTTTTGAGTTGCCTCCATTGACTATGCTTTGGGAAGGCTTGTCTGGTTTGCTTGCCAACCTGACAGGTAGCACAGATGCCAACAGCTCCTTTTAAGTCTGGTAAGCCTGTAACCAGGCCTTTCTTCTTTACTTGCAGTAACCCTTCTGGACTCAAGTGACCAAATCTCCTGTGCCAGAGACTTAGAGGAGATTCCTTGGTATCATCAGCTTGTAACCAGTGAGCTTCAACCCTGTTGGATTCATCTTTGAGCACAAACATTCTGTTGGCTCTCATACTGGTTTCTAGCAAGAAACCCTTGTTTTCCAGGAAAATTTTGCATACATTTCATTTGACCAGGAACTCCAGGCCCTTCTCTTGTAACTGTCCCATGCTGAGCAAGTTTGTTTTTAAGCATGGTACATAGAACACATCACTGATCTGCAGTGAAACTCCTCCCAGCAGTAGTCTCACCTTCCCTTTGCCAGCAACCACCAGTTTGCTGTCATTTCCCAGCCTTACCTTTCCTGTGACCTTGGTGTCCAGATCACCAAACCATCTCTTATCTCCACTCATGTGATTACTGCATCCAGAGTCTAAAAACCACTAGTTTTCCATGCCTTCCATCTTGGAATCATCTAGAAAGGCCATTAGCAGAATATCATCAGGCAGTTCAGTAGAGTGATTGGAATTGCTACTATGAGCAGACTAATAAGCCTGTTTATTGTTGTACCATTAAGGACACTCACTTCGATAGTGTCCCATCTTATGGCATTTAAAACATTCAATATGCTCTTTATTCCAGCCTCTTCCTCCCCTACCTCGACCTCTTGGAGAAAAACCACCTCTTCCTGCTCCTCTACCTCCTCTTCCTCCAACTTCATATGTCATTTTCAAAACCTGCTCTTCCTCAGCCAGAGGTTTCTTTTGAAACTTCTGTTCATGCACAAGAAGGGAACTCTGCAGAGCATCCACAAAGAGAGTTCCTATGTCTTTGGACTCCTCAATTGAACAAACAACATAGTTAAACTTCTCTGTTAATGCCCTTAGGATTTTCTCAACTATCTTAACATCAGGCATATCTTCACCACAATTCCTCATATCATTTGCCACTACCATTACTCTACTGAAGTAAGCTGTAATGGTCTCACCTTCCTTCATCTCAAGAACATCAAAAGTTCTTCTCAAACCCTGCAACTGAGCTTTCTGAACACGAGCATTGCCCTGGTACTTAGTCTTCATAGCATCCCACGGCTGTTTTGCAGTAGCCTTGTTGGTGATGGTCTTCAAAATTGACTTATCAATGGAACTGAACAGGTAATTTTTAGCTTTAAGGTCTTTGAGCCTGAGATCCTCAAGACTTTTGGATTCACCAGCAGTTAGTGGAGTTCCAGGAGCTGGCTCCTGGATGCCATCACTCACTACTCCCCAGTACTCCTTGGATCTCAGCAAATTCTCCATCAAAAGGCTCCAGTGATCATAGTCTCCATCAAAATTTGGCAACCCAACCTGTGCAAAACCAACATTATCACTCATGATTGCTATGACATAATCTCTCACCCTGAAAAAGCTTCCTCACAATAATACCCTCGTGTTTCCCAATCCCAGATCTTGCAGATCACTCAAATTTCACTTTTAAACAAACACTCAGAAAGCTTGAAAGCCTCTCAACACTCCAATGGTTACAGCTTGCAAAGTGCTCTGATACCAAATGTAAAACACTTATGGATGCAATCTGACGAGTCTTATTGATTTGAGAAGCAAAGTACATATAGGAATTTGAGATTGACTCTACTAACTACTGCTCTAACGTTCCACTAACCAGGAAACTCGCTGCCACTACTAACTACTCAAACTAATTGAGCTGGAAAAGCTCAACAGCTTTGACTCACTGATCAAGGACCAAAATGCAACAAAACAAAAACAAAGACTGACCCTGCAATAATGCACAACGCAATACTGCTTATTTAATCTTAGACCAAACTGCGCCGTATCATCCAGCAGTGAACAACTTTCAAATTTTGGCGCCTGACTCCTTGAATCCGAGAGATGAGCGGAATCCTTGTCCAACCAGGACTTCTTCCAACAATCTCGGCTGCCGAATTCTCTAGTGGTCGAGCACTTGCCTCGTTGCGGTTGTCGATCCTGCTCACGGCCAGACGGGGGAGCCTGGGATTGTCTCTTAAGGCAGGATCGGAAGCGCCGTCATGGCTTGGGAAGGTCTTTTCCAAGATGTCCATCTTGGACATCTTGATATCGCCATCTTCATCGGCTTCGTTTGCCCATTCCGGAGATTTACCTGGCCAGTAAAACTTCACTTTTTTTGGATTAATTTTGCCATTGAGTTTGTCTCGGGTGGCTAGTGCCACATCGCTGACACCTGCTGTAACCGACATGGTTGTGGAGCCTCCTAGCTAAGTGGCGACCTCAGGATAAATGAATGGAGCTTCTTTTAAGCTTCCCCTGGCATTCCGGGAGAAATTAGGGTTTCCTATGTCTATGCGTAAATGAATAAGGAACCAACGAGCCAACGGCTTACTACCGTTTTGCAGCGGGAGAGAGACAGAGAGCGTAAGGTAATTTATAGGGAAGAGTTTCTCCGGTGAGATAGATTTGATGGCAATCGGCGAGGACGGGTGGGTGTCGGACAGTGGTGGTGCGGGGAGATACGGGATCGAAATTGAACTAGAAGTTGAACAAAAAATGAAAAGTTATGAGTTTAGTTCGCAAATCTCTTCAAAATATATCCCAAGCCCGAGTCCAAGTCCGAGACTCCAAAGGATTTTGCAGGACCAATACCAATAAGAAAAAGATTACGGCCCAAAACTGTTCCTCGTGACTTTTTTACAGAAAAATTCACTTTAATTCCATCGAAAGAAGAGAAACGAGTGTTACAACATAATTCAGAGTAAATCATAAATTAATTAAAGAATATTAATCTAGTTGTCTGAAAGAGTTGAACGCGCCATTGAACGATCGACCCAGTAAGCTCAAGTGTTGAACTTTCTTGCCACAACTTTAATAATCTTGATTCTTGGGTACGTTCGAATAATTGTAACCGTTGATCCGAACTGTGCAACACATCCCCAAGGCCATTGGGTGCGGACATGAGAAAGGGCATGAACCAGGACTTGGCAGTCAGACTGGACGATGCAATCAAAATCATATTCTTGTGCTAACTTGAGACCTTGAACTAGAGCTTTCGTTTCAATTTCCATCGGGGTAGAACAAAGGAAAGTGTCAGCTCTCCCATTACATACTTGTCTATGGTAGTTAATAGAAACCACACCATATGCTGCCGGCTGGGAGTCGTTTAGAAACGATCCATCACAGTGAATCACCATAGGATGATTGTTTGGCGGTGTAGCTATATGATTCTGGGCTACCCTGAGTTGATTGGGATGAGTAGGGTTGAGGGTGGGGTCCCTCCGACAAGATGTGCACTCCATGAATTCCCTATAAGTTTGGAGAAAGATATTCGGGGGCCATGGAGCCCTTTACTTGAAAACACACTCATTCATTGCCTTCCAGATGTTCCAGCAAAGAAAAACAATATGAGTCAAACATCTAGGCTGGATTGTGTCTTTGAAGGATCAGAACTAGTCGAAGAAGGAAGTATTCTGAGAGGGAAGGGGAAGGGAGGGAAAAATGTTGTTCTAAGAGCTAGTAGCATGAGGACAGACGAAGAGAAAGTGGAAGAGGGATTTGTTTGGGTTCTGGTAAACCTAACATGTAGCGTTCGGGGAACACTTGCGGTGACGTAAACTTTCCTTCATTTCCAGCCCATTTCTAGAACACCTACATATGAAGAACTTTAACTTCGGTGGGAGCTCCAGTCCCCAGATCCATTTCCAGCTATCTGAGTTTCCCGTGGGTATGACGTTTTCATTAGCCTTATGGATAGCATGGTATGTTGTCCTAACTGTGAATTTTCCCTCGGTTGTAAGCTTCCATGCCCAGAAGTCCTCTGAGTCCTCCTCTCAAATTTGGATTATGAGAATAACATCCAGTTTCTTTCGCCCTGGTCGATCCATTTTTTAACGTTCAAGTGTTGTTGAGGTCCACTTGCTATAGTTTCTCTTTGAAGGTATGGGATCCATGGTTCTTGATCCAGCCATGTATCTTCTCCTACTCCAATGACTCTAATCGTTCCCAACTGAAGGGACTTCTTTGCTTCCCAAATACTAGCCCAGATCTAGGAGGGTCTGCTTCCTTATTATTATTATTTTTTTTTCTTAAAGGAAGGTACCTCAAGGGAAATAAATCCCTTTCAAAAGATGACTCCAAAGAGCGTCTGGGGAGGTAAGCAGGCGCCATGGTTGCTTGGCCAAGAGTGCCAAATTAAAATCTTTAAAGCTTCGGAAAACCAAACCTCCTTTTGATTTAGGAGCACACAAAATTTCCTTTCTACACCAATGGAGGCTACTTTTCTGCATCGACCCCGACCAGAAGAAGTTACTAAGAAGAGAGTCCATTTTCTTCGTGAGAGCCACCACGAGAAAAAAAGACACTAGATATAGGACGGAATGGGTTAGATAATGGCTTTGAGGAGGACTTTATTTCCTCCATGGGACAAGAGGATACTCTTCCATGCTTCTCCCATTTTCTCCATCCTTTGCATCAGAAACTGGAAAGTCTCTCTTAGAGTTCCCCCATGCCATCGGCACCCCCAGATACTTGGAGTGACAATTGGAGGCCAAAAATCCGATGTGCTTAATAATACTGCTTTTATCATTGTCTGGTACATTAGAACTGAAGAAAAAGAAGGATTTGGATGTATTGACATCTTGTCCAGTAATAGTTCCGTATTATTTAATAATGTCCAAAATATTTCCGGCTTCTTGTTGGTTAGCTTTTCCAAAGATGACAGTATCATCTGCAAAACGAAAGTGGGTCAGGATTGAGCAACGAATATTGAGTTTTATGCATTTAATAAGCTCTTATGCAACAACTTTATCGATAAGAAAAGTAAGAGCATTTGACATCAGGATAAAGAGGAAGAGAGAAAGAGAATCTCCCCGACGGATGCCTCGAGAGGGGATGAAGGGTTCAGTTGGTTCCCCATTAAAGAGGATGGAGACATTCACAGAGTGGATACAGGCTCAGATCCATTTGCACCATCGATCGTCAAACCCATACTTGTCGAGGAGGGTTTCCAGGCAGTCCCATTCAACCATGTCATCGGATTTCTTCATATCCAGTTTAAGCATCATATCCCTTATATTCCCCAACTTGTGGATTTTGAAGTGGTGTAAAGCTTCGTGGAAAATGATGATGTTATCTTGTATGAGGTAACCCCCTGTTAAGGCAGCTTGGAGTTTCGAAACCAGCAAAGGGGTCCACTTATCTAATCTTGTAGCCACAATCTTTGAGATAATCTTGTACCTAAAGTTGCAGCAGTTAATAGGACAAAACTAACTAATAAGCTTTAGATGATCAATCTTCGCGATTATAAAAATATGTGTATCATTCCACCGATTAGGGATTGACGTTGTCTCAAAGAAGGTTTTAACTTCCCTATACATGGTATCCCTGACCGTGCCCCAGAACCGGCGATAAAAACGTTTAGAAAACCCATCCAGGCCTAGGGCTTTTCTGGCTCCAAGAGAGAAAACCGCTCGCCTGATTTCTTCATGGCTTACTGGATCACAAAGATCATCATTCATTTCTCCGGAGACTTTCCCTGGGAAGTTCTCCAAGAGATTCTCTAAGGGAGTTGAGTTTCTATCCCTGAAGAGGCCTTTGTAAAATTCCCCAGCCTTCCCCTTAAATCTGCCTTCATCCTCTATCCAATCACCTTCCTCATTTTTTAGTTTGAGTATTTTATTCCCGTGTTTTCTATGCACAGTGTTAGAGTGAAAGAATGAAGTATTTTTATCACCTGATTGTAGCCATTTCACTCTAGAGCACTGTCTCCAGTAGCTTTCTCATCTTGCCATAACTTTACAAGTTTAATCATGAGTCTTTTTTCTTCCTTCACATTGGCTTGTGTTTGACTAGCTGTGACACAACTTATAACACCCTAACCCGGTCGGGTACTAATTTTACTAAAATGCCCTTGATAAATAAAATACTCAAATCTTAAATTGCAGCAGGAAAAATTTTCATAAATAACATACTGAAAACACACACTTGTAGTTCAAAGCAAAGCCCTAACACGTGGGAAAATTAAGCTCAAACTTTAAAATCTCAATCTGATCTCCAGTCTATACTCATAATCATAAAATGCAAATAACTAGGTAGTCTCTGCCGTTGTTGCTACTGAAAATCTTAACTAGGCACCCTCCGTGACGCTTACACTGCCCTTTCTCTAGCTGGCTGCCCTCGAACTTGGTGCTCACTAACTACTCCTCTAGCTCCTTCTCTAGCTCGTCAAACTGGTTAGTGAGATGGGGTCAGTCTACGCCCTTACGTTTAACATCTTATTAATACTTGATCACTTTACTTAACTTAGTGGAAGTTTTTTTGTACCTCCACTATTAAAAATCTTGACTCTTGAAACTGTACTCTTAAAACTCAAATCTCCACTTAAATTCTTGATTGACACAGGGATCCCTCACTAGCTAGTCCGGTTGCCAACTCATACGAATGAGAAGCCATCCAGGCTTTCCTTAAACTTAAACTTAGTTAGGGGAGTCGTAATGATTCATCCCCCTAACATCTTAAACTTATCGTGGTGGCTCTTCACCACGATTCTCAAGAGAATAACTACTGCTCATCTTTAAAGTCTCAAGAGCATAACTGTTGCTCTATCTCAAAATGTCTCAAAAGGCAACTGACTGGCGCTAGTGACTAAAAACACTTAAAACGACTTCACCTTCTTGAAGGTGAGTTACTTCTTAAAAAGAACTTGTTTCTTAAACTTTAACAATAACTCATAACATAACGCTTTAAGGTAAATAGCACAAAATCAACCCAAATCACCTCAAATCATAGCTCAAGCAAAGCACAAATAATCAATCATAAACATAATCAAGCAATAGTAACCAATTCAGTAAAATACTTAAAATCATAATACTTAAAATCATAAACGTTTGGCATAGCTTCTTGTAAGGGGAGGCCCAAACCCCCTACAATTCCAACTTACGATACTCATGATGAGTGAGGGGAGGCCCAAAATCGCGCTTTAAAACTTAAAAACTTACGGTTTTACGCTTCCAGAACACTAAAACGCTTTCGTTTCCATATAAAATCTTAAGTGTATAAAATCGGGACTGAAATGTGCTTTAAAGCTTAAAAGCTTACGCTTTTACGCTTCTGGTTCACCAAAACGCTTTACGCTTTTACGCTTCTAGTTGACTAAAGGAGTATTCTATTCACGAAAATACTTATATTTTACAGGTAAATCACAAAAAATATGATATATTTAAGATTAAAATATACATATCAAGTACTTGGGGTGCATTCTTAGTTTCAATAGAGTAATCTAATTCACCAACTAGGCCCTTCCCAAAATCACTAGCTTAGAGGGGAAGGTAGCTTATGGTTAAGATATATGTTTATGAACTTATTGTTAAAATGTTATGAGTTTCTCAACTTTAGACATGAATTACATGTATTTATTAACTTATCTAAACTATGTGCACTCATATTTTACATAGTATATGTCGCACTTAACACATTTTCCGTTACTTTACAGTATGCGTAAAAAATTTACGTTTTTACGCTTTGATTCTACGGTTTACGATTTTACCCATATTCCGCTTCTAGATAGAATCGCGCTTTTGACTGCAGCGAACCACCGTTGCTCTGTCCTCGATTCCTCCCCAATCCATACATCCTCCCAGCTAAACTTCCTTCCTTGTTTAAGGTTTCAGGTGATGATGTCTTGGCCTTGTGGCTATTCTTCTTCCTATTGTTTCCTAAACCTGGAAATGAAGAAGTAGGGGAATTTATGCACAATTGGGCTTGGTTAGCTTCATTAAGCCCAACCTAGGTCAGCCCTCCAGCTACTAGGCCTGTTCCCTTTCCTTTTTTTATTGTTTCGACCCATCTCTCCTTCAATAATGGTCTGATTTTGCTGATAGTTATTATCATATTGATGAAGTTGGGCCTCTCTGACCCTACTTGGGCCTGATTAGTGTTTTCCTCATGGGCTGTCGGTTCTCCACTCTGGCTGCCGCACCCATTAGCCCGAGACTAAGAGATGTCTCCACCGCCAACCTTCTTGAGCTAGCTACATCTTCTTTGATGACGAGACCAGTCTTCATCTCCGCTGCTGCTTTTTCCAGATCAAACTCAAGTCCCCCCCCCCCCCCCCCCCCATCTCTTGCTTATACCTACCATGTCTCTTGTCAGGTGTGAAGATATCACTGATTGTTGGAGTGAGATTTATGCGTGCATTGCATCTCTCGAACATAGGCGGAAAGCATTGTCCATCTATACTGCTTGTCAGATTTCTAGTCGTTGCCCTCATTTCCGTTGCTGTGCTTTCTCCCAGGTGGAGCGGCCCCATCTGTAGAGTCTTGTCTCCACCTTCTGTGATGCCAGAATTTCGCCTTCCCTTCTTTTGCTTCTGCCTCTACTCGGTGGAGAGTAGCTTTGCAGTGAGTCAACTCCGGCCTTTAGGGAAGCATTATAGATGTCAAACAACTCTACATCTTTGTTCTTCTTCCTCTCCTCGTTCATGCGCTCACAGGTTGGCTAGTTATGGCATATCCGACAACAAAAATATCATAGCTCTACCAGCCACTCGTATTTGAAGCTTCTCCAATCACAGTAATCAATGCATGTGTCTTCATCAGCATATGGGAATTCAAATCCAGTTGGAATTGGTCTACCAAAACCCTTGAGAAGAGTCGATACCCGTTGAAATCTAGTCCACTTATGTCAAGCCTGAGGAGTTTGGGGAAGTAGTAGGTGCCGATTGCCTCCACGTTCTTCTCGACTCTCATCTTCAGGTGCAAGGGAACTTCAGCTGGCATGCCCCTTCCATTCCACTTTTTTAGACCGGTGAGTGTGTTTGAGAGGCTCCAGGGGCGGTCCAACAATATTCTTTCTCTGATTGAGTCAGTGGGGAAGGTGAAGATAAATGATTTTTTTGTTTGGAATTGGTTGTACCCCAATCTCTCCATACTTCCCCCAAACATACCGGGCAGCCCCCGCCACTTTGGCAGTTGCAATCTTGTACTTAGAGAGGAACTTCCCAATCATCTTAGAATTGTCGTTGCCTGTAGACAAGATGAGATTTGGTCTTCCAGTGGTGTTGAGCTCTTCAGTGCGGGTCACCAGGTTGGATATGTCCATGCTGTTGCAAGGTAAGCAATAAGCAGAGGGAGTTGTGAGAGGTATGGAATAGATTTGGGAGTAGGGAGTTTGGTTTTTGAGGATGTTTAGTTGGGAGGTATTATTTTCCATGAGCTTTTCGTTATACTTAAAGCCTCTTCCAGCTTTAAATTCGAAGTAGTTGTGGAGGATATCCATCTTATCAAGCCTTAAATGATAATTTTTTTAGGTTGTTTCCTCTATTCTGCTTCCCTTTCACATACTTGGCTCTAGGCTTAATGTCACCTCCCTTCTTCTCAAAAGGATTTACTAGTATCTACTCTGTACGATTCTTCCTTGAATTCTCTACCATCAACTCATCTAAGAGTCTCTCTGCTAGCATTTCCCCCTTCTTAGACCATGTCAATGACGGCTTATGCGAGTTCCTCTTTAATGCTTCTATTCTGATTGTTCGTTTGCCAACTACATCAGAAAAGTATTGGGGTTTTGATCTGTCAGGAGGCTCCCATCTTTTCATTTTCTTCCTCGAACTGTGTCTCTTTAAGCATGTGTTTGGAGTAGTTGTTGTTGGGTAGTTGAGGAGAATGGGTGAATGAATGTAGTACTTCTTCACATTCGTGTGTGATTTTTCTCTTATGAAGTAAATGCAGATGGGGATTTTGCTTAGCTTTGATGCAACAATTTTAATAGACTCTATGCGGGAGTCGAGAGAGGAATCAATAAATAATTCATTGAACGAATAAGTAGCTGGTCCAGAGAAAATCTGGAGAGAGAAAACAAGAGATAGAGAGAGGCCTCATGACTTATTGTTAGTATAAATTGATTAAAATTATTTTTTCATGTTGATATTATTAACTTGTTTCTCTATTAAATCTAAATGGAAATAAAACAATTATCCATTAAAATAGTAAGGATAAATTCAATATAATAGTCAAACCTTTTATTTAATAGCCACATCGTTAAATTTTTATCCGGTCAACTGTTAATTGACTCTGACTTGGAAGAATATTAAGTGAACTGGATGATTTTTGCTTACATGGCACGAATTCAAATGTTTGACTTTGCCATGTGGAAACACTATTACTTTTACAATTTAATATTTATTACAAAATTAGAAAAAAAAAGACAACTTATCTCTCTTCTTTCTATTCTAATAGGGTTAATACTAGGGGTGGGCATGTGGGTAGTTAATCCGCGGATTAATATCGATCCATCCGCAAATAACCTGACTCGCACGCAATGGATTGATGTGGGTGGATTGCGAATTGATAAATCTTCCACCCGCACTTATGTGGGCGGGTGGATTGCGAGTCACCCGTATGATCCACATCCTATTTTTACATGAAAAAATGTTGTTTCTTATAGTATAGAATATTCATCATATTTTCGAACTGCACTACAGTCTGACCATATACTTCAAAAGGTGGAGAATAAAGAATAGTTTTGACTAATATTATTGGTTTTGTGTTGTGCAATATCTATTAGATATTTGATATTGGTATGCAAATTATTGTTAATATCAACTAAATATTGCAATGCAAACTATAAATTATTAATTGTATCAAAATCATAAATTATTGATACATTCTTACTAATTTGATATGAACTTATTATAAATGTTAGTCAACTTTCTTAATGACTAGTTGGAAAATTGCTTTTGCGGGCTGACCCACAACCCAACCGCACCAATCCGCCACCCACCCAACCCAACCCGCAGAGGTATGTGGGTGGATTGCGGGTCACAATTATTCCAACTCGCTAGTATGCGGGTGGGTCAATTTGAGACCAAAACCCACCCAACCCGCCCATTGCCCACCCGTAGTTAATACCCTCGTTTGGCCCAAAGTATAGCCTTAATGACAGTTTTGGCCCCGTTTTCCAGATAAGACATTTATGGCCCACTTTTGACATTATTGAACAAATTTGGTATGTGGGACGAGTTGACTGTCAGAATTGACGGTCATCCATTTTCTCCGTCGCTGACTCAGCATTCGACGCTGACGCGACTTGTCCACGTCATTTATTATTATTTTCTTTTTTATGAACATGTCCACGTCATTATGTTTTTTTATTTTATATTTTTTTAACAAAACAAAAAGGGAAAGGTAGACAAGAGGTACACCATACACTTGCCATTTCCCTTTCCTTCGACCTTCTTCCTCCCTGCGAAACCCCACTGTTCGCATCCCCTTCCCCGAAACCTAATCCGACCCAAATCAGAGTGCATGGCACTCGATTCTTCTCTTCGTCGGCCCGATCCTTGACCTTCAGTCCTTATTACCTTACTTTCCCTTCATCATCGCCTCGTCACCCAGCCCGATCGAGACATCGCTGATTATAATCTAGTGCGCGGGCGGCCGACCCTTTTTTGGCTGCGCCATGTTTCTTTTCTCTTCTTTGCCGGTACGAGCATCTTATCTTCATGGCGGCGCGATTCGTTTCGTCTTCCGCGAGCGATAAACGAAAGTCCCCTGTCCTGTCTTTTTCTTGTGGGACCAGTCGAGCAAGGGGCCACCACAGATGCAAAATTAGCTATTGAGCTGAAGCATTTATCATTCTCAATGTTATTTTCTACACTTCATCTTATTGGAATTGAATTTGGGAAAGTGTAGAAGTGAATAAACAATGTCCCTTTTTGTTTCTTTTCTGTTTAGTGATTTTGAGAATTTGGTAAAGAATAATTAATTGCTTGGTTGTATGTGTTTGTGTTTTGTAAGTCACGTGGAGGCAATAAACAAGGATTTTTTGGAACACTAGATGACCCATTTGTTGCCGAATTTTGCAGGATGAGTATCGAATTGGTATTTCATCATGGGGGAATGATGGATACAACTACTATGGTATCGATATATGTTGCGGGGTTGTCGACCGAGTTCATTTGCTTGTTGATCACATGTCATATTTTGAGCTGGTGAGTACATTGATCGAGGATTTAGAGTATTCGTCAGTGGAAAGGGTGTGGTATTTGACTGCGGGACAAAGTAAGGAACATGGGCTGCACGAGATACGCACTGATGCCAACATGTTTAATGGCCTAATTGTGGATGCCGAGCTAGGAGAGGTGTCCTTGTTTTTTGAAGCAACTAAGTTCATTCATGAGATGGGAGACAACTATGGGTATAGCAAGGAGGTTGAAGATGAGGAGGGTGACAACTCTTTCGTAGCCAAGTTCTTCCGGATAGATCAAGACGAGGCTCAAACGTCGGATGAGGAAGACCAAGAAATTCGGGCCCGTTATCGTCGCATGCTACAGAGGTCTAGGCTCGAAGAGACTAGATCCGAGGAAGAATTTGATCTGTGGTTTGTAGACCCCAATGAGGTGAACGAGCCTGTTCAACCTAGTGTGAATGTCGATGAAGAGGCCATCGAGGAACAAGGAGAGGAGGTTCAACAAAGTGGTGGTATGGGTGATGATGAAGCTCAAGGTTCTGAAGCAACAGTCTATAGGGGTTCTGAAAACTCAGATCATGTTCGTGGCAACATTGGCGAGGAAGATGAAGTGTCCATGATCGACAATGTCGTATATATGATCCCAACTGTGATCATAAGACATTGTCGATCACTACACATATGAGGTTTGCTAGTCCACAACAGTTTAAAGAGGCTGTTACAAAACATTCCATTGAAATTGGTGCTGTAATACAGTGGATACGCAGTAAGGATGAAGCTAGGATGTGTACTAGTTGGCCATCTTCAGCTCACAAACATGAGGTGCAGATACATGGGAAATGGTATGTTGTTGATTTGTAGACTTCTACCTACACATGTGGATATTGGGGACTTTATGGCATTCCTTGCTGCCACGCTGTTTCAGCCATTCGTTCTATGAGATTTCGTCCTGAGGCATATGTGTGATATTCGGCTTTAATATATCGGATTCTTGGACTTTATGTGATTATCCGTAGTATGTTTTAGCCAATTGGTGCTATTTTAGGGCTCGCTAATCCGAGAATGGTTGAAAAACCATTACTGCCTAGTGCCATGAGTTTGATGTGTTACAGGTGGAAAAAGCACGAAAAAGAAGCGAGTGCACGAACAATTGATTGGGCCCAAATCACCCCACCTCGGGAAGAATTAATTTGGGCCTGGGATCTATTGATCTGGGCGGCCATTAATTGGAGGGAGGCAATTATTAAACAGGGGCCGGTTATTGTGTGGGAGGAGGAAATTCTCTTTGGGATTTATTATAATTGGGACGGAAGCTGAGGAGATTATTGTTTGTTGGGAGCAATTAATCTGGGACTCGAAAATTCTTTGGAAAAAGGAAAAGCGAAGGGCGCAGCGCACGGAGCACACATCAGGCAGCGATTGGCGATTCACAAATCGGCGATCGACTTCTCTCAAGCGGCTTGAGCTGAGTTCAATGAGAGCGATTAGTTGGTTGGAATTTTCTAAACCGAATTAGTTGTTATTTGTTGATTTAGAACATGATGAACAAAACCCTACCGATCTATCTTAATTTCGTCATGAACTAAACCCCAACTTCTGGGGGAAACACCATAGGATGTAGCTATTTCTTGATTTGATGGATTGATTCATGATTTTTTTTCTTCCAATCTCTGTTGCATGAAATTTCTTAATGCTTTGTGTTGACTGGCCACCAATACAATGAATCGTAGTTGATTAGGTTATTAGCGACAGTGAAACCCTAATAACTGAACATATTTCATGTGACATAGTAACTTATCGAAGCGACAGTGGATTAAATAAGGTGCTATGCGGTCTAAAATAGGATATCGATCTTCAGGCTAAATAATTAAGTCATTGAGTGACTCACTTCTACTGTCACCCTAGGAATTGGCCAAGTGAAACCACTTCCTAAAGCGTAGTATAGCGGGTTTGGGTTTAAATGTCAACCCGGGTCCTAGATTTGATGACTACTTGGTGAATTCTTGTTATCTAGCAATGAAACTTTAATGCAAGTCTAAACTAGCAAACTAACAAAGCAAGTAAACGGTTGTATTCAGGTTAAGAGAGGTCACCCGGATATTGTTCCCCCTAGACTGCAGTTAAGCCGGATTGTAATTACCAAGTTCAGTTTCTATGATAGTTATATTGCGGAAGGTTCTTAAACAGCCTGAAGTCTCGACTAAAGGTCTTCAGACCCTCTCAATCTGAGTCTCTAGCGGGCGACTAACCTCCACCGGAGTAAACAGATTGAGGCCTTAACAAACAAAACCTCCACTACCGGAGTAAATACGGTACATAATAGTGAGTTGGCTCCTCGACTAAAGTCACCAACTCCCTACCTTCAATCAAGGATGCTCTATCAACCTAGGCAGATATTCTCATTCTAGGTTAAAGCAGAAACAACAGGAATTTGATCAGGATTCAAGTCATTCAATCATTCAAACCTCAATCGAATATAATCAAATCATAGAATCAGTACTTGGGTTCATACAATCAAAGCCTTACATACAAATCTAGGGTTCTCCATACCCAGATGAATGGGAGAACTACTCCATGGAGAAAGAAGCAAAAGCAGAATCAGACGCGGAATTCATACTGTGAAGGATGGATACCTGCTCCTGGACGTTGATCGGCACTTCTCCAAGCTCAAACTGGCCTCCAATGGTGATGAAGATCAAGCTAGGGCACTTGGAGACTCTTGTTCGTCGCTTTCTCTCTCTAGGAATCGCTTTGTCTCTCTAAAACTCGAATCCCCTTCTGTTTTGGCTGAAATCTGCTTAAAAGGGCATCAGTGGCCAAAGCACGGTCGAGGGCATGGTCGTGCTTTGCCTCGGCCCGCCCGTGCTTTGGCTAGGGTTAATTACACGGCCGTGCTTTTGGGAGGACACGGCCGTGCTTTGGTTGACACGGCCGTGCTTTCAGCCCGTGTTTGCAGCTTGAATTTGCCAAACTCAATTAGCTCTCGGCAGTAAAAGCACGGCCACACGGCCGTGTTCTGTTTTAGGTGTTCCCGTGTTTTGGCTCCAGCTCGACGAAATGACTTCCGAATGCCCCGAAACTCGTGCTTAGCCTTTCCTTTGACGCCTGGGACCTGAAATATGACAAAATAGCACAACCCGGCGTAAAATAGGCCAAAAATACACGACTATGCCCCTCAAACGGATAAGAACTTAGGGGCGCAAATATGTGCAATTACATCGTTATCATTGAGCTACGACAGTAGGATTTGAATTAATTGTTTAGTACGTAGTAATTCCCGACAGGGATAGCTAGCACATTCGTGATATCCTGACTGTAGAGAGTTGGATTAAATTGATTAGAATATGTGAATTAATCTAGATAGGATAGGTAGTGAATCCCGGTGTTTCTCCCAGAGCTTTCTCCCATTGAATTAAACCCGAAATTTTAATTTGCTTGTTTTGTTTAATTACTTTGCTAGTAGATCATAGTTTCATCTCATTAAACATTTTCACATATAGTTTGCTCAATAAAAATTGATAGAACTTAAGGTTGTACCAGTCCCTGAGAGACGATACCCGGACTTTCCGGTTTACTACGAGATAGGAATTTAAGCATTACGCTTTTATGTGAAAAATTCATACAAGTATCCAATTCCAGCTTCAGAAGGACCTCAAGCTTGGCTTCCAGTTGAAGGGTACAAGATCTCACAGATTCTCAATTTCAACAGAGCATTTGCCTCCATAAAAACTTCAAGCACACTTGAATTTGCTGATGTTATCCGATCACACCACTTGAAATGACGACAACCTTCCTTAGCATCCTACATGACAGAAGACCATTAAATTTATAGAAGGAATACCATTTCGGCAACAAATTGAGAATTATCGAACAATATACCTGCCAATACGGGCATGAATAGAACATTCTCCACGAATTGTCCTATGTTTTAGACATATGTATAATCCATGGAACATTGTGCTTGCACCTCTCGATGGCTGTTTGTAGAACTCGAACATGCTGAACTCCCCCCCCCCCCCCCCTTTAGCAGATCACATGGCTGCTTCCTCTCGATGGGTTGGCGACGAAGTGGGTTGGTGAAGAAGAGGCTTCACCATGATAAATGGCAGGTGACGAGGGAAGGAAACAAAGAGGGTTGGCGGCAGGGACGAGGGCTGGAGTTGGGTTTCATCAATCAAGCTTGGATTTCATCCTTGGAGTGAAGATTATCATCCCAAAACAGATTCTTCACATCATTATGAGTATGACTGCTTTGTATTTTATTTTCCTCTCTCTCTATGGAGTAGAATTCTCTCTCACTTCGGTATGAAGAACCCTAGTTCCATGTGTCAGGGATCATGTTTGTAATGACTTTTGGTTTGAGATACTGCTTGATTATAATCGATTGAAGTGTGTTTATTGGGTCAATTGAAGCCTGATCAACTTTTCTTGATTTCTGCTGCAACTTGAGATATATAGAATCTGATTAGGTTGTTAGAGCTTCTTCAATCGGTATTCGTGAATTGATTATAGGAGAGTTAGTCAATTCACTACTTTGTACTGGAATTCATTCTAGTAGTGGAGATTTGTGTGAATCGCCTTAGCAGTCTATCCCGGCGAAGGCTAGTCGCCTGTCGGTATTCTCTCTAAGAGGCTTGGTCAGCTTAAGAGATTCCAAGCTAATTAGGATCTTCCACAGTTTAATCAATAGTAAATCAACCAAAGGGAATTAAAACTTTACCTTAACTAAGAAGCTAGGGGGATTCATTCCCGAGTGACTCTTCTCTTGTTTAAGAACTTCGACAATTTCCTGCTTTTTTACTGCTTTAGCTTAAAATCACATTCACTCAACTTAGTCTTGCTAGATAATAGATAATCACGGAGTAGGCAGTAGATCTAGACCCCGGGTTGATAAATTGAACTTGCTATTATTCTGCATTTCCGGACTGCGATTATACTTAATCGCAGTTTGGTGTTGTGTTTTAGCGTGTCAGCGGTGGCGACGAGGGCCGGCGACGAAGATGGGTGCAGTCCAATTTGGTTTCAAAGGAGATCTGGTGTGGTGGGGTTTCGCAGGAAGAAAGAAGAAAATCAAAGGAAAGGGAAAAGGGGAAAGGGTAAGGCTGTTGTGGTCCTTGTGTCTCCCCTTCCCTTCCCTTTCCTTTTAGTTTTGTTTTTTGTTTTTTTAATAATAAATAAATTAGTAAATGACATGGACAAACCGAGTCAGCGTCGAATGCCAAGTCAGCGACAGATAAAATTGTTGACCGTCAAATCTGACAATCAACCCATTCCACAAGTCAAATTTGTCGGATAATTTCAAAAGTGGGCCAGAAATGTCTTATTTGAAAAATGGGGCCTAAATTGTCACTAACGATATACTTCAGGCGAAACGAGGATATTAATCCATTATAATATGTTCATTCGATTCTCTCTCCGGCTCGCCCATGACGAGCCCCATCGATATGAGAGCTCCAAGGCATAGTGTGAGGACCTTTCTTCCTTCTTGGGTAATTAGCACAAAAGGTCACAAATCTATGCACTTAGTACAAAACGGTCACAAATCTTTAATTTTGCACGTTTCAGTAACAAATGTTTGGACGAATAACGAAAATGTCATTCCGTCCATTTCCATCCAAAAAAACCGTTACCCATACCTAGTCAGCGTGCCACGTCATTTAAAATATTAATAAAAAAATAATGATCAAACCCAATCAATTCAGACTCAATCCAACCAGTTACCGACTCAACCCCTCTACCTCACCGCATTAGATGGGAATCCCTGACAGTTGCGGTTGAACCCAGTACCACAATCCCCACCGCACTCCCCACGTTGCTCGCCACCGCCACTTTCCACATTGTTGCTCTCCCTCCTTCCCTGTCGTTACCGGTGTAGATGCAGGACTCCGCGCAGACAATAACTTCACGACCAGCCCTAAATGCGCGTTGGATGTCGAACTCATACTCCAGCTGAAATTGGGGGCTTCAAGCTCACTGTCTTCCCATCTCCCTAAAATATCACACAGGGGATTGATAACGTGAATATCAACAAAATTCGTTAAATTGATGGCGATGGGATTTCCCTGGGTGGAACGGATCCCGACCTGAAAAGGGTAGTTGGAATTGGGGCTATTGCTCATCTTGCCGGCAACATCACTCTATCCGGGCATGTGTAGAGCAAGACGTCGAATCTCAGGTGGAATTCGTCGATCAGGGCGTCGTGGCGTGTCAGGCTGCCGAACCTAAACCTGGCCGCGTGAGACATGATGCCGGAGAGTTGGGAGTTGAACTTTCTTTACGGAGCTGAACTGTGAGATTGAAGGCGGTCTTTATCATTACAGTGGGTCCGGATCCTATCAGTAACCGACCTATCAGTAACCGTTAGTAACCTTCCATCTGACCGTCCATCGCGCCATCTTCCCAGCCGTCAGATCATGGCAATTAAATACACGCGGGGGCAAAAAGGTAATCACGCTTTCTCTCCTTCTGACAATTTGAATTGCAGACGTGACCGCGACAACCGTCCCGCCTTCTGTCCATTCTTCCTCCCGTTCCTCAATTCTCTCACCAAAATCGCAGCAAAAACTTCCAGAAAAAACTTCAAATCGAACGATTTTCGCAAAGCTTTTCGAAGAATCATTCAATGATACACTGTTCTCGCTTCTTCGTCGAAAAACGAAGGGTTTCCAACTTCAACGAGTCTCAAAAATCGTTTTCGCACAAAATATCAAGGTAAAACCTCACTTCTTTCTTCGAAATCCATCCATAGAAAAATAGAAACAGTATTTCAGTCACTCTTCATGTGAAAATTGTAGTAAAACTTGCTACATTACCGAATCGTTAGCATGCATTGCTGAACTGGTGTAGAATCTGTTGTGTTTTGCTTCGTTACCACATGGTATGGCGTGGTAAACTATGATTGCACGTTATAAAAAGGCAAGAAACCGTAACTCCTTCTGTGTTTTAGTTTGTTACCATATGGTAATGTGTGGTAAGCTATGGTTTCATGTTGTAAAATAGCAAAAAACCATAAGTTCTTCTGTGTTTTAGTTTGTTACCATATGGTAATGTGTGGTAACCTATGGTTTCATGTTGTAAAATAGCAAAAAACCATAAGTCCTGCTCTGTTTTAGTTTGTTACCATATGGTAATGTGTGGTAAGCTATGGTTTCATGTTGTAAAAAAGCAAAAAACCATAAGTCCTGCTGTGTTTTAGTTTGTTACCATATGGTAATGTGTGGTAAGCTATGGTTTCATGTTGTAAAAAAGCAAAAAAATCATAAGTGCTGCTGTGTTTTAGTTTGTTACCATATGGTAATGTGTGGTAAGCTATGGTTTCATGTTGTAAAAAAGCAAAAAAACCATAAGTGCTGCTGTGTTTTAGTTTGTTACCATATGGTAATGTGTGGTAAGCTATGGTTTCATGTTGTAAAAAAGCAAAAAAACCATAAGTGCTGCTGTGTTTTAGTTTGTTACCATATGGTAATGTGTGGTAAGCTATGGTTTCATGTTGTAAAATAGCAAAAAAACCATAAGTCCTGCTGTGTTTTAGTTTATTACCATATGGTAATGTGTGGTAAGCTATGGTTTCATGCTATAAAAAAGCAAAAAAATCATAAGTGCTGCTGTGTTTTAGTTTGTTACCATATGGTAATGTGTGGTAAGCTATGGTTTCATGTTGTAAAAAAGCAAAAAAACCATAAGTGCTGCTGTGTTTTAGTTTGTTACCATATGGTAATGTGTGGCAAGCTATGGTTTCATGTTGTAAAATAGCCAAAAAACCATAAGTCCTGCTGTGTTTTAGTTTATTACCACATGGTAATGTGTGGTAAGCTATGGTTTCATGTTGTAAAAAAGCAAAAAAATCATAAGTGCTGCTGTGTTTTAGTTTGTTACCATATGGTAATGTGTGGTAAGCTATGGTTTCATGTTGTAAAAAAGCAAAAAAACCATAAGTGCTGCTGTGTTTTAGTTTGTTACCATATGGTAATGTGTGGTAAGCTATGGTTTCATGTTGTAAAATAGCAAAAAAACTATAAGTCCTGCTGTGTTTTAGTTTATTACCATATGGTAATGTGTGGTAAGCTATGGTTTCATGCTATAAAAATGGAGGAAAACATACGTCCTGTTGTGTTTTACTTCGTTACCATATGGTAATATGTTATAAGACATGGTTTGATGTAATTACCATATGGTAAAATGAGATAAATATATGGTTTGATTTGGTATGGTAGGAAACCATTATGGTACCATATGGTATATTATGGTAAAAAGCATACTAACAGACTATTACTAATTTCTACATTCAGGTACACTATGGTAAAACCAAGACACAGTTTTCGCACAAGGTGCAGCCCAACAAGAATAG